CAATCTCAAAACCAAAGTTGTCTTTATATCCAGAGATGTCTCTTTTTTTTTAGAACATCTTTCCTTTCCATCATTCTTCATTTCTTCATTTCCTATCGAATTCTGAAAGTCCAGTTGACACAATTCCCACCTTGTTTCCTATCAGAACTCATCAGCATATGGATGAACCTTCTCCCGGACCTATCACAGATAATCACCATGTTTCAACCCCTCACAACATACCAATTGATTCTTCTCCTGTGGATCCTGCAAATGGTCCATCTCTTGATCTTGCCACACCTATCAGAAAATCATCCAGAATCAAACGTGCTCCCTCTTATCTGAAGGATTACCACCGTAGTCTCATGTCTCAATTGTCTCCTCAATCGGCTTCCATGAAGAAAGAGATTGAATCCAGCATAAAGTATCCTATTGAAGATCATTTGAGCTATGATCAATTATCTCCTCAGCACAGAAATTATACACTAGCTCTGTCTACTATATGTTGAACTAAGGAAGGCAAACCAACGAAGAGAAGAGAGACGAGGGAAATGAATTTATTCAAATTGAGAATTCAATTTACAGAAATAGAAAGAGGGCTGAATATATAGACGAGGGAAGCTAACATTAACAGAATGAACAAAGCAAAAAAGACTGAAATGCCCCTAACTAAGTAAAAGACTGAAATGCCCCTTATTATCTCAACAGGAAACACTGGCGCCACACGGATTCTGGAAGAAAGGATTTCCCTGTGAGAAAACAAGGTACAAGATTTCTGATTTTTTTCGACATGTATAAGTGGTGGCAGAGGAAGTTGCTACTTCAAAGTAAATAAAGGGAACAGAGTAAGAGTGAATATAATTGCTGAAAGTTCTACCACCATTGATTGCCAAGATCCTAGCTGACTATATTTATGTTGGAAACGAAAAATATAGAAAAGAGGCATACTAATATATAAATATATTTATTTCATATTGGAAAGTGTGCAGGGGAAAGTACTTTGAGGTGTTTGAAGGTATAGACATCACGAACAACGAAAAATGCACCATCAAGATTCTCAAACCGGTCAAAAAGAAGGTAAATTTCATTATTTTATCCGGAACAAGTATTGCAAGTTGCATGATTCCTACAGCAATTTAAATTTGGACTGTGATGCATGGAAAATCAAATGTTTAGAGAGATGTTGGGGCACCAAGATAGAAGCTCATATTCTCTTAATAGATGTTCCCGTGTCAAAACAAGTGGTTAAACATGGAGATCTTTTTCAATAAATACTTCAATTTTGCTGCCATTTAGTTTTATTTTTCATTTTAGTGTGTCTCTATGTTGAAATTAATATTGTGAATTTGTTTCTAACTTCCTTTTCGGTCATTTGTGCATTTTTCGTTGGAACATTGTGTTGCAAAGTAAATGATAAAAGGTAGTAGGATCTTTACCTCCTCTTACTTGTGTACTTGATTTTCCTGATAGCATTGTTCTGTTTTCTGTTGTGTAGTGTTGTGTTGTTTACTGCTATTATGTCTACTAAAAGCATGGCTAGAGAGGTCTTCAATCAGTTTGTTAAGATTTGGAGGTCCATCT